CACACAGAGAAACCATGTCTCAAAAAAAAAAAAAAAAAAAAAAAAAACAACCTAATAATAATAATAATAATAATTTTTAAAAATGCAGAGACTTAGAGCCAGGTAGTGGTGGAGCACACCTTTAATCCCAGAACTCTAGAGGCAGAGAGAGGCAAGTACAAAATCTTGTCTCAAAAGAAAAAAAAAAAAAAACACAAAACACACAAAAGAAGTAGAGACTTGGGATCAGCATAGGAAGAGAAACATGATGCTCCAAGGACCGCCACCCAGTCTGATGAAGTGACAAAAGAGAGGGTCCCAGAAAACTACATCACTGTAAAGCAGTAATCCTAAGTCAAAGTTTCACAATGCTAACAGGTTGGTAGCCCACTGAGATAAGTCCCTAAAACCTGCAGAGCACCGTATCTTAGAAATAAAGATTATGTGACCTTCAAGGAACCCCCAACATACTACAGGTTGTAGCTGTCTTGAGAAAGGAACTGTCATCTGAATTCTGGAGGCTTTAGGGTTCGGGAACCCTTGCATATTCCCTTTACTGGGATTCCACGGATGTTTTCACTGCACCGGCATGGGGAACAAGGGTAGCATCTCTACGGCCCAACTTGGGCTCAGCAGAGTAAATGTGACGTAAGTCAGGGACCAGGAGATCACAGCACTTCTTGCCCTCTGAGCCTGCATGGCCAGCCACGTGCAAACCTGCAGCAGGACTGAGGGCATATGTCCATGTGGCCTCTGAAGCCCTTTCTTTTTGTGCTATATAGCATGGCCTAACTATAGATAAAAACATAAATTTCTCCAAAAAAGTATAGAGAAAAATATTTATGGCCTTGGATTAGGATGTGATAACTGGGAAATATTTGTAAATCTGATTACAAATGTTTATTTAGAAGACAGAAAGCAAAAAGCCTACAAAACACATGTCTGATCAGAGATATAGATCCCGAAGCTCTAATTCTTGGACCTCATTTTCTGTAACCAAACAAAGAGATAGGCAAAAGATGTGAATAGATACTTTACCAAAGTCATACAAGCGGTAAATAAAACATTTTTTTTAAATGTCCAATCCTATAAGTCACTGGGGAGATGTGATTTATTGCTTCTGTGAGAAACCAGGCCTAGTAGCTCAAGCTTGCAACTCCAGCATTTGGATGGCCCCGGTTACATAGTGAATCTCAGGCCAGCTGAGGCTAGAGTAAGACCTTGTTTCAAAAAATAAAAATAAAACCTTAATGAGACGCCATTACTTCTTTCTAAGAATGGCTAAGAGTTAAAGAAGCTTGAAAATGAAGTCACAGAGGGCAAATCCTGTTTACCTCTGACAGGCCTGAAGAATTCTGCAACCACACAACTTAGCACTTTCTTCTAAAATTATACCATGCATTTACTGTGTGATGAAATTATTTCAGTCCTCAGTACACAGCCAGGAGAAATGTCCACAAGAGAGCCTTTAATTTGAACATGTAGTCTTATTTGTAATTTGCAAAGCTGGAAACAGTCTGGATATATGAAGGTTAATTTATGGATAATGTGTGGTGGCTACAGCAGAGTAAATGAATTAACTAATATCCCAGGAGACATTTGTACACCTTAAAAGCATCATCAGAGTGTGGTAAGCAGATATCAAAGACCTTGTGATTTCACTTGCAGGTCATTTCAAAGAATTGAACACTGTCGTGACAGGAAGTGCACAAGAGCTGCTGCAGGCTGAAAATCAAGGAAAGAATTGACTGATAAGAAGCCCAACAACTTTTTAAAAAGATTCTCAGTTATGTGTTTTTAGGTATGTCTGTGTGCATGTGATCAAGGGTGTCCATGGAGACCAGAAGAGTATGCAAGATCCCCTGGAGCTAGAGTGGTAAGGATTGTGAGCCACCTGATATGGATGCTGGGAACTGAACTTGGGGCCTCAGTAAGAGCAAAACATATATACTCTTAACTGCACAGCCATCTCTCTACCTCTCTCCTAACCCCCTACCAGCAGAAGCTGTTAGGGAAATGAGTGTTCTATATCTTGATTTTGTTGGGTTTCATTGTACAAAATGATCCAGTATACTATAGGAATCATCCATCTATACAGTTAAGAAGATGAAGGATGGGGCTGATACCATTATGTATATCCTAGATCCTAATCTGTGGTCAGAATATCACAGACACATAGAATGGAAACACAGATGTGTCATCTTATTTCGACTTGTAAATCTAGAGCTAATTGTGAGAAATATGCAGGAGTTTAGGAGTAGAAGCCTTTTGGAAGGTTGGGAATCAGACTCAGGAGTAGAGTCAGCAGTCAATCACACGTTCCTTGCTTTAATAAATATCAAGATTATGCGTTCTTTTGAAAGTGCAAATGTGAGGGAAGTAGAGTAGGGGAAACAGGGAGGGAGGGTAGGGCTGGGAGGAGACAAGAGATGGGCTATGACTGGTATGTAAAATCATTTCTTTTGTTAAAGTGAAAATGTTTGACATGAAAGAGTGCTTCAGTCTAGTGGAGAAAAAAAAATGTTTAAAGTACTAAAAAAAAAATCTCAGACCAAGAGAAATTGGTTCCTCCTCCTCCTCCTCCTCTTCTTCTCAATGAAACTGGAACCCTCTTGGTGTAGGAAACTCCATCAGGCCCATAGCTACATCCCACAACCTAGGTGATATTCAATAAGACTTCACTAGAAGACCATAGTTTGTAAGCAGCTGTACACATCAAACAAACTGTGTCTAATTTGAAAAGTATGTTGTTTCTCCCCGAAGAATGCACGCCAGCAACATGGCGAACAGACTTGGCTATCTCGATGTGCTAAGCTATGCACTATGAATTTTACACTCTTCTTCATGGGTGCTATACTCCAGCAACTTCTTTTCACATTGTGTGTGTGTTTTGCACATAGGCAAGAGTGCAGTGAGCACACATGGAGGCCAGAAGGTAACTTGCTAGGGTTAATTCTCTCTTTCTACCATGTGGGTTCCAAGGATTGAAGTGATGTCAGCAGGCCTGGTGGCAAGCACCCTTAGCCGCTACACCATCTCACTGGCTTCCTCAACAACCCTTCAAAATGCATCAAATGGTTTTGTTAGTTCCCTCCGAAAGACCACGCTGAACAGCTGTATGGGAACACACACAGACTTAGCAAAGACACCAAGAGCTAGCTGAGAGATCAGCTTTGAGATGTGGAAGGGCCTTGAGGTGGGGTGGGATTGGACCTTCTGAAGTTCTGCTCTCTGGCCTGCATGTACTTATACAAGCATTTGCAGTGTAACTGTGCTAGAGTAAGTATTTAGTTTTCTGCATTTATACCAAAGAATTTACCAGAGTCAAACAATGTGAATGACTACGCCTGGGGACTACTTAATTATATAACATGAATCACTGTGTGCCATTGAAAAGGAAGCCACTCAAGCCCCCATATGCTTATAAAGGTCCAGCATCCAATTGTAACCTAAAATGGAAAGAGCCAGGGTAGATAACAGATAAGACACCACACACAGGCACATAATACATATAGAAAACGGTATATTTTATGTTATGTATAATAATATTTACATATGTCTCTAGAAAATATCATTAATCTATGGAGTAGACAAGAAAGCTTTTAGTATTTCAGAGGACTGGAGCCACAAGAAACATTTATTTATGAATCTTGTATCGTACACATTAGTTTCAAATCAAATTGTGAAGGTTATTTAGTAAACACGTGCTTATGGCAAGGTTCATTCCAGATTTTGTGCTGGGCTGTCTTTACCGAAGAGTACTTAGGCGGAGAATAGGGACTGACTAGCTAACTAAGGAGCAGAGGCTTCGTATTCAGCTGTTTGGATCTTTGGTACTGAGCCAAAAGCCCAGTTGAGCACCACACGCTAAGTTTATGTGGAATTATGTTCCACAGTGCAGCTGTGCCTCTTAGCCTCCACAAAGAATATTCTAAATTTGTTGGAGACAGGTTCACACTATGTCCCCTGGACTGACCTCAACCTCATGATCCTTCTGCCTCAGGCTCCTGAGTTCTGGGGTTACAGGTGTGCGCTGCTATGCCCAGCAAAGCTTTGCAATTGAAATGTGTTGCTGGGGATTGAACCCAGGGCTTCGACATGCTAAGGAAGTTCTCAATCACTGAGCCATACCCCAAGCCCTTCACAAAGACTGTTAAGTAAGGATTTTCTCATATATGAACCGGACACTGAGACATCATAAAGGATAAAAATGAACAGAACAGAGTCTTAGCCGTTGTAGAAGAAGTCATTAAGAAGGAGAAAGGGAAGGAGAGGTGAGTCCCATTCTCTTCCTGTGTCCGTTTGTTTTCTGATCTTTATAAATAGGATGAGGTCATGCTTCTTGTTTTGACAAGTCACAAATCTAGAAAAGACATTTTAAAAAACTAAACAAAATATTAAATACTTCTTTGGAAAAGTATTCAGCTCCACACCTCCACAGTTCTTATGTCATCTTCCTGTTCCTTCATTTTTGGTTCCCCAAAAGGCATAGACGAAACACTAAGTTGATGTGTGTAAACCACAGTAAGACCCCTCCAGACAGCTCTGCTGAGGGGCTAAATCTCCAAAGCACATCGACAAGGCATCAGAGAGCATTTCAACCTACAAAGCAAGTGAGCTTTAAAAAACAACAACAGCAACAACTTTTTTTTTTCTTTCTTCTTTTGGGGGGTGGGATGTGATGGATGTTGAGACAGGGTTTCTCTGTGTAGCCCTGGCTGTCTTGGAATTCACTATGTAGACTAGCCTGACCTTGAACTCACAGAAATCCAACTGCCTCTGCCTCCTGAGTGCTGGATGAGAGGCATGTGCCACCAGGCCTGGCACAAGTGACTTTCTGTTCCATACTAAGGAGAAACACACTAGAAAAGACAGCTTTTTTTTTTGGGGGGGGGGGGGAAGCTTTGTCTACTCCTTGTCAGGACTCCAACATTTCTCTGGGGCCGTGTTTTGAAACCCATCTTCTGAGGAAATCCTTCCAGCCCTTTAATGAATCACGATTAGGGGAGGGCGTATTTGAGTCACCTCAAAGGACAGAAGTTGAGGAGCATTTCATTGTTGAAGTGCTCCAAGCCCGTGTGTACCATCTCTTCATCGAAATCCCACTTTCCGGGCAGTGAGTATTGCTGCTGTGGATGCGAGCCGTAGGAGAGCAGAAAGGGGTCCTGCTGCGGTGAGTGGTATGTGAGGGAAGGGACGTAGCTGTTGAAATCCATGGGCACTTTCTCTTCGTAGGGTTCGCCACCTGGATTGGACCACAAGGGATGGAAGCCGGGCTGGGCCGCAGGTGGTTCCAGGGGAATCTGCTGGGGGAAGTGCTCCAAAGCATTCTGGGAGGGAAAGAAGTCACAGGGCCAGTTGGTCACGGGCAGAGCAGGATAGCTGGGGTAGTAGGCGTCATCGTTAGGATTCCTCCCCAGGGCAGCGTTCTTATTCCAGGCCTGCAGATCGTCATAATCTGCATACATCCCAGGGACAGGAGGCTGAAACTGCTCTTCGCCGCCGCCGCCGCCGCCGCCGTACATCCTGCTGCTGGGGAATTTGCATTTCTCATAGAGCTTAGCGGAGTCCAGGGTGGAAGCCGGATCTTCCAGCTCAGTGGTTCCCCCCAAATCGTAACTCTTGGGGAAGGATAGACAATCATTCAGGGAGTTCTGCTGGGGGGCGTTAGCTATTAAAGGTGCGCTGTAACTGCTGGGCAGTTGGACGCCTTCCTGGAATGACCAAGTTAAAGGTAAACTCCCCTGACTCGGTATTTCACCTGGAAGAGCCTGGAAAGGGAAACGAACACTCATGTTAATAAGTTAAGCAAATCCACATGGCCACCCCAGGCACCCCTGAGTTATTCCGCAAATATCCCTAGATAGGATCGCCCTCATTCCTTGCATGCTTCGACCGCGGGCACGGCTTCTCTGTGAGAGGAGACTGACTCCCATTCCAGTTCACGACTTCCCAACCTGCGAAGTGCCCGCGGCCCTCTGTGGACACGCTGGATGTTTGATAGCCTCACACTCAGACATCAGGCACCTCACTGTTCTTTTGAGGCATTCATAAGGGACTATTTAAGAAAAACAAACAGCTCTGCAGCTTCAGAGATTTATACTAGAACCGGTATGAACTCGAAGAGCTACCCCTCAGCCCACTTCTGCCTCCCCCCTTTTCCTTCTCCCCAACCTGGACTATTCTAGTTCTTAGTGTGAGAGATCAGGGTATTGTTGAATTGTTTTTCTCCCTTAGAGACCTTTCTCTGAGCTCATGGGAACGGCAAAGAATAGAACACAAACTGGTCAGCTTCAATTTCTTCGTATAAGTGGAGTAACTGTCATCCCCAGGTAGTCACAGGAGAAGGAGCAGCTAAGTAATTATATTGTTCTCTCCTCACAAGAGCATCGCCTGAGGGGAGGAGAGAGGTTCTCTCCAAGTAGAGAGGCTGCAAAGAATGACGAGGAGCAGCCAAGTGGATTTGAGAGCTCAAGGTCTCTTGCAACGGACTAAATCACAATTTCTTCTAGATAAGGTACACTTGGAGCTTTGCAACAGGAATTAATATTACATCAAAGAGATAAATATGTGACGCCATGAGGCCCATGCAGGGATGGGCTTCCCTCTACCACTGGGGTGGCCATCGTTTTCAGAAACTTTTATTTTAAACAGTTCCACTGTGTAGCTCAGGCTGGTTTCGAATTCTGGATCCTGAATGTTGGTAAATACTCAGTGTCCCAAGAGCTGGTATCACACTAAAACCCACCCACCTTAACAACTGATTATTTAGAACAGTGGTTCTCAACTGTGGGTCATGACCCATTTGGGAATTACATATCAGTTATCCTGACTTCAGATATGTATATTACTACTCATAACAGTAGCGGAATCACAGCGATGAGGTAGCAATGAAATAATTTTATGGTTGGGGGTCAGCACAACATGAGGGACTGTATTAAAGGGTCACAGCTTTAGGAATGTTGAAAAACACAGATTTAGGTGAAATCAGACGCATTCAGGGTAGGATGGCTGTAATTATTTAGGCCAGTTAAGAAAACAATGTTTTAGGAATGTGTGGAAGTTTGAAAACAAAAACAAAATTCCAAAAGCATAAAGCTAATAACATTTGTAAAGATTATTTTGATTAATTCTGAGTGTACTGAAATTAAAACGTGGGGCTGGAGAGATGACTCAGAGGTTAAGAACACTGGCTGTTCTACCAAAGGTCCTGAGTTCAGTTCCCAGCAACCACGTGGTGGCTCACAACCATCTAAAATGAGATCTGGTGCCCTCTCCTGGTGCACAGGCACACATGCAGGCAGAACGCTGTATACATAATAAATAAGTAATTAAAAAAAAAGAAATTAAAACATAGAGTTGCCAAATATAAGTTAAATACAAATTCAGGCCTCTAAAAAAAAAACCCAAAAAACAAAACAAACAAACAAACAAACAACCCCCCCCAAAAAAAAAACCAAACCTCACAGTAGGGATGATGAGTCCATGATTATACTGAATATTTGCAAGCTTCCTTCAGATAGGCTAAACCTTAAGAGTACCATTTCAGATTCAGTTTGCCCCATGAGTGCTTGCTTTCACTGGTCAGTAAAGGACTGGGGCCATCTACCATGCCCACTGCAGGGAAGAGGCCTTGATATAGGGGCCTGAGCACACTTGGGGGCAGCTGACCTTTGTTTCTGGATTCGCCTTCATCCGTAAGGAGCTGGAGGCAGACGCCATGTGCACTTTCTTCATTGCTCTTCTTGCCTCTGCTTCTAGCTTGGTTTCTGGCTTGGGATGATCATGCTCTCCTTTTGACTGAGGAGAGATAATAATAATAATAATAATAATAATAATAATAATAATAATAACCGAGCTGCACTTCACAAGGTGTAGCTTTTCGTTCTCTGTATTGTCCTCTCTGTGACCCCGGTTAGCAAGGTCGCCTGCTGCATCAGAAACTCTTCCCAGGCCCACAGTGCCCACGCCTGCCTCCTGTCCTATGCAGTCTCTTCCTTACGTGATCTCCGTCTCCCATCGTGTCTCGGAGCGTGTGCCAGCCACGTTCATCTCCTCTCACTTATTGACTCAACGCTTACATACATACTGTGATTTCCAATCCTGTTTACAGAATAACAAACTGAGGTCTAGAGAGGATACCATCTGGATAACTTCCCTCAGGAAGCAGGGCTCTGGGGTCTCCACAGCCAACGTGGGAACCCGGTGTGAAACATTCCGCCCTTGCGTGAGCTGGCGATTTTAAGGGGCTGGTAGCTGGGAGCAGCTACGGCACAGCCTGGCAGATGACTCCTGGGCAGGGCTGTGTCTTCGGGAGAGCTGGTTTGTCAGTCCCTCCACAGACTGTCCTGTGCCAGAACCAATTCTTGACGTGTTTACATCCAGGCCCCCCACGATTGTTTCTTACAAAGCTTGCAGGAGGCTGGGATCTTGAGGAAGAATCAGGTTGTTCACTGGATGTAGGGCTCGTTCTGGCTCGGCACTGGCACTCAAGCTGGGGTTTGCGGAAGGCTACGAGCCGAATGCTGTCTGTCCAGTGCTGAGCTAGGCATCACCTCCCCTCGGGAGCGGGGTCACTCAGCCTGCCCGGGTTCCCGGGGCTTCACCTCCGGTAAAGTAGGGCGTGAGGGCGTTTGTCCCTCCAGAGGGACAGTCTCCTGTAGCCCTGGACCCCCAACCACCAATCAAAATTCCTCTATGGGAGGCAGGATAGACAGCCGCCACATGAAAGGGAACAGAACAAGTAACTCAAACCCAACCTGGAAAAATATGAAGCGCCCGTCGTGCCTCCAGAAGTTGGTGACCGGGAAGCCCCCATGGCCTCGGCAGGGAATGAGCTTCAGCGGCCCATTGCAGTTGGGACAACACTTCCCTGCAGAAGGAGCAACGGAAGTGACGGAAGAGTCAGCTGATTCTGAGTCTGCGCAGCCCGGCTGGCTTGGATGCCAGGCTAGTGGAGGGGAACCCAGAGCAAAGGCCCTTCCCTCCGCTGGATCTTACCCACGACCCCAGCACTCTGCCTACCAAGGGCCATCTGGGTTCACACGTGGCTGCAGCCAGCAGCTGCCCGACAAGTGGGATTGTTTTACAGCTCAAAGCATTCTGCAGAGCAGAACGCCTCCCTACGCACCTACTAATATTAAGTGTTCTTTATTTATAGAAAAGGTATTTTGAGATTAGTAACTCAGATTTAAGGGCAAAGTCACATGGGAGAGAGACGACACCGCCGCTAAAATTTCGCTGAGAGAGGAAGATTTGAGGACACCTTACTAGGAGAGAACACGACGTACCTTTGAGGTGTAAAGTGGGTGAGGGGTAGGAAGCCTGGGGTCATCTATTTCACGACCCAATGAGTATGACAGAGAGAGAGAGAGAGAGAGAGAGAGAGAGAGAGAGAGAAAGAGAGAGAGAGAGAGAGAGAGAGAGAGAGAGAGAGAGAAGACTCCCGCAGGTAACTACGGCCTACATCTAAATGGACAAAGTTGAGTTTCCGAATTTCGCCCTGGGGTGCCAGTCCCGAAGAATCAGTTCACCGGTATCTCCCCCAGGACTCGGGGGCCAGGTGGCAAGTCTGTATGCTAACTTCTCTTGACGGTTCCATGAATCAACCTCCCCCAAGGCAAAGGCCATTCCAGGCAGATAGGTGGCTTCTCCTTAGAGAGTGCTCAAGGCCCTGCCTGCCCCTCAGCTCCAGTGGGAGGGTTGGCCGCGCCCTTGGGACACGCCCACCCTGGTAGGAGCATCTATGTGGTCTCTTGCCGACCTCCCCTCCCCACAGCCTCACTCACTCTGCTGCTTCTGCCTGGCTTTGTCACAGATGGCGGGCCTCAGGTAGATCTTGCGGCCCTCCTCGGTCGAACAGTCCCGGCTGCACACGACCACGCCCAGGCACGATTTCTTGAGGATGCGCGAGTTGTGGTTGTTGGTGTTGCGCATGGCCCAGCTGCTCAGGTGGCGCTGCGCGTTCCTGTCCTCCGAGCTGTAGATGTGTTTCACATACGAGTCCGGCCACTCCTGGAACCAGTCGGTTTTCTTCACGTTCTGACGGAGGAGACACACGGAGGTTCCGGTACAGTTTGATCCAGAGAAAACCCAACCCGTCTGCCTCTGTAGAGCTATGATACATGTACAAAATGTCTGGGGCCACAGGAGGCAGAGCAAGGGGCCTTACCCGAATTTAATCCTGGTGGTGATCTGTGAGCCCCAACAGTGGCTGGCTTACAACCTTCCTGATGCTGCCATCTTTTAATACAATTCTTCGTGTTGGTGACCCCCAACCACGAAATTATTTTTGTTGCCACTTCATAACTCTAATTTTGCTACTGTTATGAACCCTAATGGAAATATCTGTGTTTTCTGACGGTCTTAGGGCAGCTCTGAAAGGTCTTCCACCCTCAAAGGAGTCAGGACCCACCGGTTGAGAACCGCTGGTAGCGGTGTCTTTCGCGCCTATCAAGCATTTGGCCACGGCCTTTATGAATCCTGCTGTTTCTCCAGCGCTTGGAGATATCAGTAAGCAAGAGTTTTTGAGTGAGGTCATCTCGTCATGCGTACATAATGACGATGGAAAGCGCAGTGAGATAATGCCTCATGCCACGTTGGCTACCATCTAGGTACCATCTAGGGAATCACAAAGCCACAAGCAAGGCAGAGCTCTGCTTCAAAGAGGTGCGGAAATGCACTTTTTTTCCTTCATGGACAGTTTCCTTGTTTTTCTCTACCCCACAGACATGCAGAGGACTCAAGACGAGTCTCTGTTCTTGCCCGGTACTGCCCTGTTCCCTGCACCTGAGCATCTGACTGGTCTCTGTTGGGCAAGGTCAGACCTGTGGGAGCTACCCAGGCCAACTCTCAACGCAGTTGGGGTGGCAGATTTTGAACCACAATACAATCACGCTATAAAAAGGTCCTTTGGAGATTGAGTTACTTTGCTTTCCGTTTTGTTTCTGCAGGTGGAAAACAGAGGTGGTGAAACCCTCCCACTTGAGGAGTTCTGAGGATTAATTATGCATGTAAAATGCTTGCCTCAGCACCTAGCCAGCTGTGGGCTGTGAATAAATGGAGCTGCTGGGTGTGGCTCATTTTCCCAGACTCCACAACCAGGACAGATGCTGCCTGTGACAGATCCTGCCTAGCTCTTAGAAAGAGAGCTATCCTAATTTGGCTCTGTGCCCATCATCACGACTCTCAGAGACCTGACATAAAAATAAGAAGAGTTTTCATTGAGAAGATTCTCAAAGGTCAAGGTAAAAGATTCTCAAAGGTCAAGGTAGAAGATTCTGGAAAAAACAGAAAAAGAAATCAAGGTACCAATCCTTTACTTTCCCAAGAAGAAAGCGCAGAATATTAATTAGCAAAGCCAAGGAATGTCTGAAGACAAACATCAGCGAGCATAAGGATGGGTGAGCATTCCCTAGGTTAGACTTCTGTCCCAGAAGGAAGAGGATCAAGGAGTGTGTTCCTGGAGGGCCCCCCTGCAGCCCAGCGGGCAGCTGCAATTCTTCCCTTTTGGAAGGCACAGCCAGGGAAGATGCCCAGCTGTCTGCCTTTTCTATCATTCTGTCTCCTACTAGAGACCCTGGCAACTGTGGCCTTATACACCTCGGTGTCTATATGAGAACATCCTAAAACCTCGACCCCCATCTTCTCTTCCTTTTTTCCTGCTGACTGAAATTCAGATCATTGCTTTCCAGCTTTCTCTCACAGAAAAACATAGAGAAATAGTTTACTTTATTTTTTAAAAAAGATTTATTTTACTTTTTTGTTATATGTTCATGTGGAGAGAGATATGTGTGCGTAAGTGCAGGTACCCAGTGTGGGTGCTGGGAACTGAACCCCAGCCCTCTGCCAGAGCTGCAAGCACCCTTAATGTCTGAGCCATCACTCCAACCCCAGGTATGTTACCTTTGAATGATTGTTTACCTTTAATCATTTGAGCTATAAAGAATTGGTGGATTTGATTTGTATTATTCTAATATGACACACAGTTGTCAAGACAGGAGAGACGAAGTCAGACATTTAGAGGAAAGCATAGATTTTGATGTGAGTGCCTCACTCCCATCCTCGCTGGTCAGAACTACAAACCCATGAGCCAGGAGAAGTGAAATGTATCCCTAGTTTTCTAGCTGCATTAATAAGGGAGACATGCATGAAGTGCAGAAACTGCTAGAAGGAAAAGTGAACTCGCCAAGCTCTTCTCTTGGCTAGTTTATTCATTCTGTCATTTGCCTGGACGTTCAGTGGAATCCTTGGCAACTTTTTATATTAAAATGGGGGGGGCGGGGCTTGAATAAAGTTGTCCCAAATGTTCAAGAACCAAAGAAGCAAGAGGAGGGCATTTCTGAACGCCCTCATAATTTTTAAATTGTAAAAGCACCAAAAAAGTCATTTTAAAACCAAGAACAAGGCTTCTTAACCTTACTAGCAATTTCCAGAAGACGCTCCCTGTTTTTTCCAGAACTTTTGTTAATTTAATTTCTAACTTTTCATAAAACACTTTCTTTTTTTTCAGACACTTTGTTTACTTTAATTTCTAACTCTTCATGAGTAACTTTTTGTTTTTGCTCTTGGTTAAGAGGTTTATAATTGAAAGGGAACATCCTTAAGTTTTCCAACATGCCACATCTAAAAAAATTTATATTTTATCATCTTCTAGGTAGCATCATTAGGAATGTAATTGGTATTCTGTGATTTCTCTGCATAATGTAATCCTATAATTTACTCAGGTAAACTTTCAGATGTTGTATGAAAACACAGTGCACTCTTTATATGACCTTCATTTTAATTTAATTTAGTCATTTGAAGTTGCAATAGATTATCATAAAATGATATGTTACTATATATAAATTTATATATGTAAAAATTTGTATATATATAAAAGTGTGGGTATATATGTGTGTATATATACATATATATATATATATAACTAATAAAATCAATTTCTTAAATAAGATATCAAAACACTCACGTTGTGAGCTAAGAGAGGTGGGTTTTGCCTATAACTTTAGCAGCTATGAGGCTAAGACATAAGAATTGCTTACAGGCATGTGGCTTTGCTTCCTGGGCTCTTTCCTCCCTCATTTTCTCTTTGCTGCCAGACCTTCGCCATTATGAATTGCACGCCCACTCCCGGGAAGGGCCTGTCCCAGTCAGTGCTGCCCTACGGCAGTAGTGTCCCCACATGTCTGAAGTTGACATCTGAAGGAACAGATTTACAGACTGGCCAAGAAGCACCTGACTCCCTCCCAGATAGTTGTGATCCTGAGGGACTCACGTGGCGAGGCGCAGGTCCGTTTTGTGACTGGTAATTAAATCTTGAGAATCCTTAAGTCCAAAGGCCTTGCCCCTGACCTCCCTGAGGATCTCTACCATTGGATTAAGAAAGCCGTTGCTGTCCGGAAGCATCTTGAGAGGAACAGAAAGGATAAGGATGCTAAATTCCCCCTGATTCTGATAGAGAGCAGAATTCACCTTTTGGCTCATCACTATAAGACTAAGTGGGTACTCCCGCCCAATTGGAAATACGAGTTTTCCACAGCTTCTTTTCGCTAGTGGCATAAATTCTCTTGTGTACAAAGCAATAAAATCATAAAATCATTTTGAATAATGAAAAAGAAAGAAAAAAGAATTTCTTCCAGACCAAAGCCAGCATGGGTTATATTGTGAAACCATCTCAAAAAATAAAAAGAAAAGAAAAAAAAGAAACAAAACAAAACAAAAATTTCCATCATGGTATTACATTAAAATTCCTTTTCAGTCTTAGTATAGTCAACTTTTGTATAAAACAATTGTCTTTCAGCATAAATAGCTTTTTTTTTCATAAAAAGCTTATTAACCCTTTCCATGAGGTAAACCCATATAGAATAAGGACATCAAATACAATAGATAGATGATAGATAGATAGATAGATGATAGATAGATAGATAGATAGATAGATAGATAGATAGATAGATAGATAAAAGCAAACAAGGGCTCATCTAGCCCAAGTTACTTTTCAAATCACTATGTAGCTAAAGCTGGCCTTCTGCTAGGATCACAGGAATAGGACAACACACCCAGCTTGTCAAACAGGCACTTTCAGTGAATCTGGTACAAGATTAAATGTTGCTTACTAAAACAAAACAAAAATATGTCAGGTGTGGCACACACCTTTAATCCTAGCACTCAGGAGGCAGAGGTAGGCAGGTCTCTGAGTTTACTGCCATCCTGGTCTACATAGTAGCCAGCCAAGGCTACATAGTGAAACCCTGTAACAGCAACAACAAAAGAAACAGAATATATTGTTATTTAGACCCTACAGATAACTTTTTGGAGCGAATCTGCCTCTTCCAGGTCAGATGGAATTCTAAATGTCTTCAGGAGTCAACAAACATCTTTGCGTTAAAAACTGCTCTCTAGAGTAATCCTCCTATTCCTAACCGCGGAATGACCGGCCATATTGCTAGACCAAGTTTCTCCAGTTTTTAATTTTTGCGCTTTCTGTCACCACCATCTCCTCTCTCTTCTCCTCTCCCTTCCCTTTCCCACTCCTATCATCCAAGCCAAGGATGTGTGGTGGGTGAGAGTCTATCATTCCAGATGCAGGGATGTTCCCATCAACATCACACCAGAAGCTCTGGGTAGAACCCAGACCTGATACCGAGGGTTCCGGTAATCATGGGTGTCCATATAGGTGGAGCTGTCCAGGAGGACAAATAGGAGGTGGACAGAGACGGTGAAGTTACAGATGTCTGCATGAGAAGTAACGCGACCTAGCCATCAGGACAATAGTGACTGATGAAGAATACAGAATCGGGTTTGCCTGCTACCTTCCCAGCCCTCAACACACCTGGTTGCTTGTGATTACACAAAGGAAGCTGAATCTACAGAGTTCAGACAACCACAATTTGGGGCTAATCCTCAGTGGAGGCAGAAGAAATTTTTCTGGCTAAAATCTTGATCCAGCCACAAACTAACTAATTGGAGCTATAGCCCATTCACATTTGATGCCACTGTTTTAAAGAGTGTTCCCTGCCCGCATGGAGAAAATGAAATGAACGCAAGCCTTGGAATTGGGTGGGCAGTACAGCTCAGTAACAGAGCCCAGCATTCACCCACAGAACCACAAATCAAAACAAAATTAGCTAGACATTGTGATACCTGTCATCTCAGGTAGGGGGAGAGCAAGAGGATCTTGAATTTGTGACTACTCTGAGCTACAGAGTGAATTCAAGTCCAGCCTCGGCTACATGGTGAGACCTGGCCTCAAAACAAAACGAACAAACAAAACAAATCAAACAAACTAAAACAACCCCAACCCCCCCAAATGCCAACAGTAAAACAACCAGATTGAAACTGTGTGAGTAAATGTTTTAGTGTAGTTTTGGCCATGGGTTTTGACCTGACAACTGCCTAGGAATAAAATGATTGAGGTAGCTGTGATGTTACAGCTACAGCCCTTCTTCAGCTTAGAAAAACCAGCTGCTGTGAAAACTAGTGAAATAACATCATTATTATAGTGAAATAATACTATTATTATAGTGAAATAATACTATTTAGTGGAAAAGGTCATTGAGAGTCTCCCCAATTTTCAACCAAGAGGAGAAAACAACTGTTGCAAGATTGTCTTAACTGTCATCGTCTGTGTGAAGACTGTAAGACCCTTTGGGACCATCTAATCCATATTTCACGTGAAAGTAAGACAAGAGCAACAGCAGATATTTGCTGCTTGAACCAAGCAGACTCTACAGTGATTAAGTTCGCAGGTGCCAGTGTAATTTAAGGGGGGTAGAACAGGAAAGATGCTGGCAGCGAACACTGGCCTAGAACACGACTTCCAACCCTGATAGCATAGTCAAGCACCTGTGCTTCAGGGCTAATGCCACAGTGGATGCGGAAAGCTGGGCTTGTGGACTCACGACAGTAACCCCAGCACTCAAGAGGCAGAAGCCATCAGTTTGAGGCTAGCCTGGTCTGTGAACTGAACTCCAGATCAGCTGGGCAAAGCTATGCAGTTCTAATTATCTGGGAGACTGAGGCAGGAGGATTTCTATGAGTCCAAAGCCAGCCTGGGCTACATAGTGAATTTTAGCCCATTCCAGGCTACAGAGTGAGACCCTGTTTAAAACAACAACAACAAATAAATAGGGCTGGAGAGATGGTTCAATGCTTAGAAGCACTGGCTGTCCTTCTAGAGGAAATGGGTTCAACTACCAGCACACACATGGCAGCTCACTACTGCCTGTAACTCCAGTTCCAGAGAATCCAATGCCCTCTTTTGGCCTCTGAGGGTACCAGACAAATAAATGAAAACACCCACCGGCCCAGGGTGACCATTCCAGAATCCTTGACCATCAGAATCAACAGGAACAGAAAAGACCACTGCATGCAGCAAAAGCATTCCAGAGGAGAGAAGGAAAAGGAATTTTGAGAGACACAGCTAATTCTCAGAGGCCCTACAGTAGAGAGAGGTACAGCAGGAACTCATGTCCACAGCCCATGTCTCCAGGACCTGCGCTTCTCATTGGTTATCCCTCTGTAAGTCCTATTGTTGAAATCTTTCCAAGATCTTTCATTTCTCGTCTTAACTGGTTGTAGATACGATTCCAGGGTAGATAGATTCCAGCGTTTGAATAAGCCCAGGTCAGGATGGGGTCATGTCTGCTCAGACCAATGCTAAAGGGTAATGATTCCCCCAAGTTTTGCTACAAGCCAAACAGCTTTTCTGTAAATGACCTGTTCACTAACCGCAAAGGGTCTGTTTCCAGAGCAAGTGTGTGCACGTTTGTCGTGGGCTTCTCTGTGTGGTGGTCTAAGGAGTCAAGAACGTTGCAACAAGAGCTTTTGGGCTCTGGGTTTCCCTCCAGGAAAGCTGTTCTTCCTTTATGGAGCTGATGTTTATGGAGCTGATGTTTTTGTTTGTTTGTTTGTTTTCGTTTTTGTTTTTCCTTTTTCTTTTTAAGGCCAGTCTTGGCCTTGTGGTGACTCTCCGTCTCTCTCTTAAGTGCCGGGATTATAGACATGAACCACCACACCCGCAAAAATGTACATCAGTACATAGGGGTGCCCTGCGCACAGTTTAAAGTTTTTCCGTATCTGTTGACCTCAGCCTGAAATATTATCACTAGTTCACATTCTGGGGGGTACAAGCATGAAATGGAAAACAGGGAGAAATACGGGCCTCGGAGCCAACAGCAATTAACATTCACTCTAAAGGTTCCCTAAAAACAGCTGTAGCGATTGCGGTGGAACCAAGAGCGACTGTCAACGTAAGTCCTGAAAATGGATGTTGGCCTGGTTTAGTGCCGGCTTATTCGCACCCTTGGATGAATAGGTATATTTTCTGTCTTCCCACTTTCTCAACACTCACCAGGGGAAAACTTGAGGAGAAATTAAGGGAAAGCAAAGAGAAACAAGAAGGAGTATCTAGAAAGCCATAAGCTGAGACTGGGATCACCAACCCTTCTACCCTGCTTGTTCCCCAGGATCAGACACAATGGATTGACGCTCTCAGTAGCTGGTATGAGCGGACCACTCCGGGCTTGTTGTTCATCATCGCTTTTCCAAACAATGTTCAGTAAAAGTATCTTCAGACTGTCGGAGGAGAAGGTACGGTAGGGATGATACAAACCGAATCTTGGTCTTAGTTAATGCTTTCCATCAAATTAGAGTTCAAAGGGAATTTGCTAGTTGGGCCTGTGATCCCAGCACTTGGGATGGAGAAACAAGAGGACTGTGAGTTCAAGGCAAGTTTCAGCTCCTTTGGGGAGTTAAGGCCAGCTTGGGCTGCTGAATAAGACCTCTCTCTCTCTCTCTCTCTCTCTCTCTCACACACACACACACACACACACACACACACACACACACATACACTCACACCACAGCTATTTGCCACAGAGGAGCTCAAAGACAACATGAAAAGGAGAGTAGAAGCCACCCATTGAGCCCATGGATGGTATTTCAATAAGTCTTTCGAGAGCAGGCTGTTTTGTCCAAGGGCATCACTGCTCAGATAGTCCAGCTTCAGGGTTAACTGTTAAAAATTACTATGGCAAGCCAGGCACGGGGGTGGCTCGTGCCTTTAATCCCAAGGCTCTGGGAGGCAGGGGCAGGCAGATCTCTGTCAGTTCGAGGCCAGCCTGGTCTACGGAGTGAGTCCAGGTCAGCCAAAGCTACACAAAAGAAACCCTGTCTTGAAAAACCAAAAAAGTACCATGGCAAAAAAAAAAAAAAGGTGCTATGGGTAATGAGCAGTCGGTCCACTGGCAAGTACCGTGAACTGAGCACTAAACTGAATAAGCGAGCTTTGAAAGGGAGGAAGCAAGGCTTTCTTCATCTCTGTCTGTGCCTGTGGTGTCTAGAAAACAAAGAGGTGCTCCAATAGGCCTTGCACCTCACCTTGAAGCACCTTAGTTGGCTGTATGACCAGAGCCCTGAAGCAGTTCACCTGGCTGGGATCTCACAGTTCACGCGTGGAACCTGGCAAGTTAGTAGTCTGGCTTCTCAGCCGAACGCTGGGGGCATTCTTGCAAGCACATACCTGAGGCAGCTTCATGTCGTTAATATCCCAGCTCAGTATCTCTTTGTCTTCAGGATCAAAGTCGTCCGGTTCCATGATAAGGACTGGTCCACACAGGCTCTCCTCTAGTCAACTTCTGGGAGATGTGCTGGAGAGCTCTCACTCTCAAAACCTTCTGTGAGCGCAGTCAGCCGAGGGGCTGGCTTTCCAGAGCTAAGAAAATAAGTGACAGCAACTGGTGATTTGAGAGATTACAAACCATGAAGCCAGATGTGGTGGCTCATAGCCCAGGGACAGAGACAAGAGATTGCCACGAGTTCGGGCCTGACTGAGGTACAAAGTGAGACTGTCTCAAAAGAGGGTGGGGAGGCTTAGCAGGGAAAAGCGCTTGATATCAAGCCTGAAGATCTGAGTTCAGTCCCTGGAACCCACATGGTAGAAGGAGAAAACCAGCTCCCACAAGTTGCCCTCTGACCTCTGCACGTGCACCATGCACACACACAGTAATAAATGGAAGAAGAAGAAGAAGAAGAAGAAGAAGAAGAAGAAGAAGAAGAAGA